ATTCGAACTCGGCTCTCCGATTCCTCAATAGGAATCGCTATCCATTACTCCACCCAGCGTCGTAAATCGGTTGCGTTCATCTATTTAAACAATTTTCATAATATTGTGTATCTTTTCATATATGTTTCATTTGTTTTTTTTCTAAAATCTGCTTCTACGAAAATCTTAGAGTTCCTTAAATTGTTATTCTTTTATTTCTTCATTTTTTTTTATCTCTGATCAAATTTTACGATATTTCCAAAGTCTTGTTCAGTCAGTTATGTGCCATGCGTGATACAAGCTTAAGCGATCATATATCTTTCGATATATGAGTGACAAGGCAGATTGCTTCCCGCAGTATGTTGCCATTTCTTTCTGCAGTAGATCAGTTGCCATCCAAGGCTACAGAACCCGGTTTTTCCTGCAATTTTCTCATAGCTTGAGAAAAATGTGATTCATATAATCCCCAAGGCTATTAGAACGTAAGTGAATGTAATGGATTTGACTGGAATTCGAACTCAGCTCTCTGATTCCTCAATCCGAGCTGCTATCCATTACTCCACCATGTCTCCTAAGTCAGCTATGTGCCATGTGTGATACATGCTTAGGCGATCATGTATCTTTTAATACATGACTGACAAGGCAGATTTTTTCCTGCAGTAGGTTGCAATTTCTTTCTGCGGTAGACAAGCTGCCATCCAAGGCTATAGAACCTGGTCTGTCCTGCTATTTACCCATAGCTGGGGGGAGAAGAAGAGGATTCCTACCTTTCCCAAGGGTATAACATGTAAGTAAATGTAATGGATTTGACTGGAATTGGAACTCGGCTTCAATCCGAGTCGCTATCCATTACATCTTTTTGAAATAATCATCATTTTAAAAAGCTTAATAAAATTTGAATAAGTTAAAGTGCAGTATAAACACATCGTTCCTTCTTGCCTTTTGCTTATGCTACTTTTTGCTTTCGATCATTTTTTTTATATTGAGTGTAAATGCGTAACCACTAACGTAAATACTGATAGCTTTTATTAAGTTTTATTTGCTGAACAATTAATTCTCCAGTTGCCCTTTCCTTGTCATATCACTTCCGTTTCTAAATGTTTGGCTTTCTCTGTGGATGATGGCCATCTTTCTAATTTCTATGCCCTTTTGTTTTTACTTCTAACTTCCTCTTTCCTCACATATCTTTCGTTCTCTTTTTAAATTCATGAATATTCATTCTATTCACTGCATTCTATGTATTACGTTTAATAGCAACCATTAGACGCAATCGATCATTCAAATAAACGCTAACAAATACAATTGTGGGCTCGAGTGATACTCCACATCTTCTTCTTTATGTGCCAACCCAAGGCGATCATGGCTCTCAAAACTTTCTGACCCTTGTAGTTCTTAATAAAGCTTATCTTTCTCTTATCTCTCCCAAAAAACCTCTTTCACCATCCATTTACTCAAGCTCACTATGTGATGCGCTGTTTTCCTCTGCTTCTCTTGCATTCAGTCTGTCCTGTGAGTATTAGATTTTCCAAGCGCTCTTTCCTCATTATGGACCTTAGAAACCTCAACTGTCGCTTCTTGATATTAAGTATAATTTTCACGTTTGTTTCCATTTTTTCTGAGACTTCATCCTGCTCATGTGTTCGTTCCATGGTATTCTTAGTATCCTTTTGTAGAACCATATTTCCTTTGCTTCAAGTCTCTTCTTCATCTTTAAAGACTCAAATCGGTGGTGGCATTAAATTGCTAATACTTTTTCTAAGGAAGGAAAAACTAAAAATAACAAGAAATGAAAGTAGATACTTTATCAATAATTATTTTCGATTTGCGAGAAATCGGATCATTGATAGGTAAAATTACTTACCGATTGAAAGTTAAACAAAAAACAATTTCTTTCCCGGCAAACATCTTTATTATTTTTTACTTACAAATGAATCTCTTGAGACAATTTAGTCTGAACTGAAAATGGGTGTTAAAACCATTACTAGGTAATTTGCGAATGTATACCGTGGCTCAATTTGGTTTACTTTTCTATATCTACAGTCTGACATTTTATAGGCAGAGGCAATACAAAATTGACATAAAATAATCCATTAATATCCATCCACCTGAATTGTGGCCACAAATTATCTATAGGCAGTAACGTGTAATTAATATCGTATTTTTATAAATCTCTACTTAATACCAGATAATTTTTGAAAGCTATAATTAATATCTTTTTGCGTTTATTTTTATAATTAATACCGGATTATACGGTGGGCATTGACGGATTAAAAATTTGATGCTAAAACAAATGTTTAAAATAAATAAACAAAAGTTGACATCTATAAAAAACATCGTTTTATTTTATTGAATTAATTTTTAGATAAAGCCTAGGCCACTATTAAGTATTTAACCAACATTTTTCATATCAAGATCTCAAGCTGTCATTCTATGACCATTAGGAAGCAACGCAGATGCAATATATTCTAAAAACAAAACAAAAAAAAAGAAACTTTCGGTGAATTAGCGTAATATCTTTATTTGAGAAACATGTGTTATCATGCTAGCTACCTCATGCATTAAGTCACAAAACTCGCTACAAACGTTCAAATCTTACCATGTTTTATTTTGTAACTTTTATTCTTAATTTTCCATGGATGAGTCAAAATTAACCATAAAGAGGGGACACAGATCACAATCATATGGATATTTGAATACAAACATATTTTAAAAAGCACATATTCAAAGATGGCTACACAAAATTACACATTCCTTTTTCCTCAACGAAATCTGCAATTTGTAAATAACTCCGCTGTAACGTAGCAAAAACTGCCAAGAGAAACACCACGAACTTGAACTTAAAGTATCTAAGAAAAGAAAAGAAACCGGAAGGTGAATTTAAAAAAAAAGACATCATTAGATGTTACTAATACCGTGCGCTCACAATAAAAAAGGACTCACATTAGATACCTCAAAAAGTCAGCTGCTAAACGTTTAGCGACTGGAATGACTGTCAAAGAGCGCTGAACCGAGTTTGAAAATAAGCAGATGATTATGCTCTTTACCCTAAGCGGCACGCATGTTCCTTCAAGACGGTGACGATCATGACTCTCTACAACTCTCTGTCCTTCATACCTCAATAAATTTTATCTTTTCGCTCTCTCTTCCTAAATCTGTCCTGCCATGCATTCGCTTAAGCTCGCTAGGTAGGTTATGCGTTGATTTCCTTCGTCTCTCTTGTCTACAATCTGTCCTGTGAGTATCGAATTTTCCAAGTCCTCTTTCCTCATTATGTGCCCAGAGGATTTCAACTGCCCCTTCCTGATGTTAAGTATAAGTGTCCATTTTGTTTTCAGTGTCTCTAAAACTTCACTGTTTCTCACGTGTTCGATCTATGGTATCCTCAATATACTTCTGTAGAACCATATTTATGTTGCTTCACCTCTTGACTTCATTTGTGAAGAGATTGTCGAACTTCCACTGCTATATAGGAGGACTGATATTACATGACACTTCAGTAGTCTTTTCTTTGTTCCTTACAAAATGGACTAATGTTTCGTATTTACTCTACGGGAGGTGAATAAAACTAATTTCAAATTTACTCTAGATGTACAAATACCCGAAATAAATAAATCTTAATTCAGTTTCATATACGTTTGCTTGTTATTGCTATTCTCATCCTTCAGATTCAAGCAGCAGCTGTCAACCCCCGCTGAGAGAAACCAACTTGCATATCAACCACATGGAATTAAAACCGACCTTTCCAGACCAACGCGAGAAATACCACGAGAGTTCTGGGTATGATGATAAACTACATCCGGTAGCAAGGACATTGCTCGGAAGATAGAAGGTTTTGAGGAGTGTGGAACAACCTCTTAATTGCTGCTGTTTCAGCTCCCCCACCCGACCCAGGAGTCGGGGGTGGTAGCACCAGTTACGGTCTCAACTATGAGAAAATATATAACCTCATAAACAGCAAGAAAACACTGAATGTATAAAAATACATTTTTATAGAAAAAATACCAGCAATAACTTTATATCTATATATATATATAAATCTACCAATAATACATATCTATAGTAAAATTATCAACAATATTTACTGTAACGACTTCACCCAAATCCTTTTAAAATACTACCAAACAACCAACATGAAAGAATACTTTCATGACATTAATCCATACAATATCGTACAATTTTCTAAATCAGACTGTATTCCACAATATAGCAACTGCTCAGACGAGTTATTTTCACTGGTGCCCCAACTGCATGAATTTAAAAGTGCTACTAGGTTGGCATCTCGTTCCCAACATTTTACTGTCGAAAATGTTAAATGTAACTGCCACTTCTACTCCAATAGCTTCTCTCGCACTTCCTGACAGTGGAACTCCCTTCCTCTTACTTGCTTCCCTGATAACAATAAATCTTCAAAACTTTAAAAGTAATGTCAATAAACATCTTCTGATGCCGTGATCTTGAACCTCGTCCTTCTCTTTATCATTTCCTCAAACACCTCTCATTACTCTTACTTTCACTCTCTGCAACTCCTTGCGTGCTAGTGGCATAGCCGACTTGCTTGGGGTGAAATGCTTAAAAACAAATAACATCAACAAAGCTACAACATAAAACAAACATATCACCGCCTCTAGTAACCACGTCCATACGAACGTCTATATGCACAAAAGCTGTATATTATCTACCATGTATTCGATTGTGAATGCAAAATAACATTATTATTATGTTTTTATTACTCCAATCTCCCAAGGAAATTACATTTCGGTATTAAATGAACCACAACTTTATGTATTTGCTTCATCTGCACATCTTCAATTCGTACCTCGTATGTTGGACTGTTCTTGCTGATAATCATACATTCTACTTTATCTATTTATACGCCGTATCTATCCCTATATATATATATATATATATATATATATATATATATATACATAACACGCGAGAACGATATACATATATATAACACGCGAGAACGATATATATATATATATATATATATATATATATATATATATATATAAGACGTAATATCGTGAGATAGATACACATGAATAAACTGTGACAGATAGATAGATACATAGATAGATAGATAGATAGATAGATAGATAGATTTGTACATTATACAGTAAAAAAACTATAAAAAAGATAGAATGAAAGGAAGGTTGGTGATAAATGAATAGTTACGATAAAGGCGATAATGTGTGTTGTTCGCATATTAGCTTGCTCGCTAAGCTATGAATAAAGATGGCAGAATACAAATAGCAATACATAAATATGAAAAAAAAAAATCACAAGGAGAAAAAGCGAATCTCGAGAATGGACCTGAAAGATTAGAAGGAAGAAAAATGATACAAGAAAGAAGGAAACTAAGACAGACGGAAAGGAAGAAAACAAGTTTGAAAAAAAAAAGAATACATAAGGAAAGGGTTGTCGAGATTTTTGAGAAATATGAATGTGGAGCGCGTAAAATGGGAAACTCTAAAGGGAAAGGAGGAAGAAAATGTGGGAAGCTATGTAGAAAATGTGTTGGAAGATATTGGACAAGATGAAAGAGTATTCAAAGACGATGAGACACACTTGCTTTGTAGGTGAATGGCTGAAAGCAGGTTGTTGTGTGGAATACATGGCGGTCTTCGATCACGTACCCGTGGAAAAGACAAATAACCCGAGTTCGGACTGGAAACGAGGAGAGAACTGACAACGGCGAAGAATTATCATTAATAATATTCCCTTTAATAGAAATATACAGTCGGTAGGGATCCGATTATAAAGAAGGTGTATGTGAAGAGAGAGAGAGAGAGAGAGAGAGAGAGAGAGAGAGAAAGGGAAAAGAGGAAGAGGATGAGAGAGAGAGGGAGAGAGAGAGAGAGAAATACATTTATTATTAAGCTAAATGTTATTTTTACCGCGTGCATGTGTTTGAGTTGCTATCATTTTTAAACTCCTAAATTAAACAGTGACACTCATATTAGTGAAATACATGAGATCACATCTGGGTGTTGACTTCAGTGTCCATTTTTATAATTACCTACTCTCTATTTCTGATATTAGGCACTTTAAGATATAAATCACATTAATATAGTATACCTTAAAATTATTTTTTTTATATATATATATATATATATATATATATATATATATATATATATATATATATATATATATATAGTTAGTTTATGCAAACTTAGGTAATCCGTATGGGTAGACCAGAGGAGGATGATATCCAGAGAGCTCAATGTAAAATTCAGAGCAGATATTTTTGAATAAAAGACAGACCACGTTAAGATCCCATGTAATAAGCTATTTCACCATAACCCCTTTAACAGGGTTCTGGATCATCAGACTTTACTTCCAAAAGCTGAAATGAAAAATGAAAAGAAATTCACACATTTTTGACGGACCTCATCAAGTATACGCAAAGTTAACGAAGTGAGGAAGTGAGGTGGGAGAGAGGATATGAGTGTGTCATATGTATCATTTCAATTTCCTATTTTTAACCCCAGTGTGTCGGCTAGATGTTGCTCAAATTTAACACGTCTCGTCTCTAGATATAAGACCGACATTAAAGGAAGAAGCTACAACCCCAATCAATTACACGACAGGTTTCATTCAAAATCTTAGACGCTGTTAATTCGCGTTACTTTAACGTGCATATTTGGGAGGTTAAGGTTTGATAAATATCTAAATGTCTAAACAATCTACGAAGAAATTAATTTGAAATTCGATGGAGTTTTGGGTATTTTCTATGAAACAGTCGATTGAAAAATTCAGAGACAGCACATTGAAAGAGTAATCCATTTTATTTTTCCCAAATATGCACGTTAAAGTAACGCGAATTAACAGCGTCTAAGAATTTGAATGAAACCTATCGTGTAATTGATTGGGGTTGTTGTAGCTTCTTCCTTTAATGTTGGTCTTATATCTAGAGACGAGACGCGTTAAATTTGAGCAACATCTAGCCGACACACTGGGGTTAAAATAGGAAATTGAAATGATACATATGACACCATATCCTCTCTCCCACATCACTACGTTAATTTTACGTATACTTGATGAGGTCCGTCAAAAACGTGTGAATTTTTTTTCATTTTTTCATTTCAGCTTTTGGAAGTAAAGTCTGATGATCCAGAACCCTGTTAAAGGGGTTATGGTGAAATAGCTTATTACATGGAATCTTAACGTGGTCTGTTTTTTATTCAAATATATATATATATATATATATATATATATATATATATATATATATATATATATATATATATATGCACCGGGTCTAACAGCAAATTGTCCAAATCGTGTAACAGCAAAATTGTACAGTTGTTAAGGTTTGAACCGTTGTATGTTAGAAATGATTAAATATATCTTACTGGAATTCACTGAGGTTTTTATAACACGACTTTGAACAATAAGAATATATTTATCTCTAATTTGAAATGATGATCCCTCTTGCTGTTGTGACCTCTTGATTCAGTTTTCCTCTCTCTCTCTCTCTCTCTCTCTCTCTCTCTATATATATATATATATATATATATATATATATATATATATGATCTCTGTTCCAAAACAATAACACATTTCTCATAGCATTTTTTTCGGCTTACATCTCTATTTTCGTTGTCCTCTTGTTATCGAGAAGTAAAATCAAGAACAAAATCTATTTCCATACCTGAGGATGTCTGTAGGAACAGACGAAAGCTTGTAAAAATTAAAAGACATTATGCAACTGGAATTTATGAACAGGGATCATATCATTCACATACAGGTTCTGGGTTGGTGTACCTTATATTGTTTGCGAAGATGTATTCTTGCCATTTAAATCATTAACCTCTATATTTGTTTTTTGTATGAATGATTCATGAATTTATATATATATATATATATTTATTATATATATATATATATATATATATATATATATATATCAGGAGGATTTTATTAATACGACATATTTTTATTACTTTAAAGGTTATTTTTAGTTGATGCCTGTGTTTGAGTATGCGCTCCTTTTATATATTAAAGAGTATATTCATTCATTTTCACCTACCGGCCTGAATGTTCGAGAAATCTTATTAAAGAAAAATTTTTGCTCTTAAAAAGCGAAATAACAAGAGAATAGAAAAAAAAATGAAAAGCGAAAAATGAAGAGAGAATACAAGAAACATCAATGGAAGAGAAAGAAAGAAAATTAGAAAAGGGAGAAAAATTCGTTAAAACAGATAGAAAGTTGGATGATTATAAAAAGACAGAAAAAAGAAAGACTGGAAAAGAGAGGAAGACGAATTCGGAGAACTGTGGTGATAAACAATATATAAAATATAAGAATCAGGAAAATGTAAAAATGAAACCCAGAAATAAAAGCCGAAGATAAAACAAAAAATATAAATATGGCTACCAAGATTAACCAAATATTAACTCTAGCCAATGGATAAACTACAAAATGAATTTTTGTTACAGTATCTCCCTATATTTCTGAGATGAGGTATTATGTGCACTATTTACATTTTTCGGACTATTGTCCTCATCTTTGTTGCCATATTTATAACAACGTTTCGGCTGTTGTACGCTCTGACCTTCTTCAGGTGGTTGGAATGTCGAACTCAACCCTTTATTTCTCTCGCTGGGGTAGACTGTTCTAGTCCCACGTGCCATGTCTAATGGATGTCACTTATCAGTTATCTCCTGTTAATTCACATCTCCAAGTTCTCCACTGCCTTAACCAGGTATTGAACTCACAACTTTTTGGGTCCTATCACTGGATCTAACCAACATCTTTATCCACTGTGCCATGCGTCCGAATAATGTAAATAGTGAAACTTTGCTATATGAATAGGGAAAATCTAAAGGTTAGGCTATGACATAAGAAAAGAGATTTGATATAGAGAATAAAAAAGAAACCAATAGATCCACAAAACGATGGATAAGATGTAATCATAGGCAGCAGAAGATGGCGCTCTGGTAAGTTCTCGGTGATACGAAGAAGCCTTACCAAAAATTAAGATACTTGGTCATTTAGAAGTCAGAAATGGGTAGGGACGAGATCTTAACATTCCTTAGTCTTTGCTGTTATAAAACTAAATATCTGTGTGCTTCTTGATAGATAGATAGATAGATAGATTGTTTCCATGGTAACGGAGCTAAAGAACGTATAATGAAACAGTTTGGCACAGATTGACGTCGAACATTGTCGCGCATACACACCAAGTTATAACGTTCTCGCTCAATTCCGTTATTCATAGCAGTGCTGGGAAGAGAGAGGTTCCATCATTGACGCAGTTTTTGACCAAGGACAATATTCTCCATGTCAGACCATATTCCCCAGATCTCGCCCCTTGTAAAATTTTTCCTTTTCAAAAAACCAAATCCCGCTTGAGAGGGACAAGATTTCAAGACATCAACGAAATCTAAAAGGAATTCCAAGAATGCTTCCATCGATGGAAACGACTTTGGATAAAGTGTGTGGATTTAGAAAGTTACTACTTCGAACAGGATTAAATACCGAATAACCTGTATGTTATAGTTTTTTATAGCACGAGTCCAGAAACGTTTTGCTCATATCTCGTATATATATATATATATAAAGAAATATAGTCTTAAGGTGTGCTATATTTATGGGATAAAGTGCTCAATATCAGAGATAGAGTGTATATATATATATATATATATATATATATATATATATATATATATATATATATATATATATATATAGAGATAATGGTATATACATTTTATATGTCATGAACTTTTTTTCGGGGTAAGATGGACGATGAATTGGAAAAAAGTTTTCGTGTGACGCGTTTCATCCCTTAGGACTTCATCAGGACTAGATTTGTTTACGTTGATGCGAATATACATGCACATAAACGAGAGACGCTGGTAATTTAGAATTTTGTAAATATTTTTGAACTTTTTTCTTTTAATAATTTATTTTGTGTTTGTTATGATTTTAATAATGTGTGTTTGTGATTTTTTTGAATAATTTATTTTGTTGTATATAATTGAGACAATTTTATTTAGATACTTTTTCTTCTTGTATCATTCATCTTTGTTATTAAATATCCTGCATTGTGCTAATAAAAGATCTGCCAAGAATCGTGAAACGTTGCTGGAAACTGGATGCAAGTTTACTGTGGATGAACTAGCAATTAAAACACTTTCTAAACCTTTTAATCTCAGTGAATTATTTTCTCTTTTAATTCGTGTAGCTTTTATATGCCAAAATTGTGGTCAATCTCGTATATATATATATATATATATATATATATATATATATATATATATATATATGTGTGTGTGTGTGTGTGTGTGTGTGCGCGTTTAGTTCAGGATATTACAGCGAAAACATGTAAAATCGCTATATATATATATATATATATATATATATATATATATAGAGAGAGAGAGAGAGAGAGAGAGAGAAAGCGAGAGAGAGATAGGTTCGGAAAAATAGATCGTAGTGTTTTAAGTCAATTTCTAAAACAATATTTAGATGTTAAGGCATAGATTTATTCCCGACATATATACCATGTTCTTCTACTAACTTTTGTCAACTTTGGACCAGATTAATGATTCCATCCTCCTAGAACTTGGCATTTTTCATGGTAATGAAATGACCTCAGTGGTTCTCATGGGACTCCATGTAATTGAAGTACTTCCCCTTAAGGCAATTATACTGAGATGGTCTGAAGCTGCAGCATTTACTCCCTTTCGTTTATTAGGCGTTAAATTACAACACTTTGCATCCTCCATAGTTTATCTTCAATATCACACTTAGATTGAAGAATATTTATGAGCGTACTGTAATTAAAATTTTGACAACCTAACGATATTTTTACTTATTTATTTATTTAATCTCTTTTTCTAGAACTTGTCCGTTTCCATAGAAGGAAAGGATTTGAGAAATTCTTATATCAGATTTAAGGATTACGGAAATATGTGTATCGCCATGATTGATGTTATTTCACGGAGAGTGGCTCAACACAATTGCATTACTGTAGTGTAACGGTAGGTGATCAAGTTTTACCGCAGATCTTTATTAATGAGTTGTGACTTCGATCCTCATTGGTTGTTCTGTCTGGCAAAACTTACCGACGGAAGAAAGTAATGGTTAACGAGAAGTTTTGTTTAACTTTAGCTGTTCAGTAGCGTTCGAATCTTGCTGGATGCTTTGTAGCAAAAAAAAAAAAAAAGTTTTGCTTTGTAAATGGCAACTCTATCAAGCTGACTTTTTGAAATACCATGTCCCTTCAAGACAATGACGATCATTGATCTCTTCCGATTCGTCTTCTTTATTATCTTTGAATTACCATACTCTCTTGGAAAATCCAAAGAAATTTTTTCCCATTGCCTTCGCCATTGTTTTGAATTCAGAATGTTCGTTCTGTTAGACTGGTTGTCACCTTAGGCTAGAGAACCAGGTTTACCATTTAGAACTAGGAAGAAGAGATGGGTTTATGTATTTACCAAGGGTGATATCGTATCCTGTTGAGAGCCACAAGGGATAGGGGTAAGTGGAGGGCCATTATCGCCTACATCCTGAAAGGACACGGCTCATATAAAATACCGAACAATCACTGACTATAAATTTTAATAAGTTTTCAGCTCTTAAAGTATCTCTAAAAGACGTTAATTCGAAGAAGTAGAAACAGTATGATGCTCATGAATCTCTTAGGGCCTTGAGATATCTGGCAGCATCAAGTCAAGGTAACTCAACAGAGCTCATCTCAATCAGACTAGTTTTCAGTGAGATTTTTCTTTTTCTTAGATTACACCAAGTGCAGGAGTGCACAGTCTACCCTTCTATTTATCCCATAGCTGGGGGAATGGGTTTCGCAAAGGCGTCATTGCAAGATGTACGCAACAGGATGGGCTGTTATTTGAACTCGTTTTGCTGACACCGTCGCTTGCGCCAATAACCATTACGCTATTTGAAAATTAAATATGAGACAATAACATGCGAATATGTAGACGAAATCCAACCATAAAATATATAATTACAAGTTTCAGAATTATCAATAGATGAGAAAACGAACATAAGGGTATACATAATTTGGGATTGAAAATAATTAATTAATTAGGAGCCGAAATAAATAAAATGAAGGCATACTCTAAAAAATTAAGATATATGAAAAAATAAAATAAAAGGAAAGAAGGGCTAATATATATGTGATTTCATAGAAAGTGAGGCGTTTTATCGGGAGCGATTGGAAGGGGGTGCATATTACAAGTTCCTTCTGTAAAAATGAGACTTTGAATTTAGAGAAATATACTTCCCAATTTAGGCTGATAAAATACAGCAATCGATGAAGATGTATGCATAATTGGGTAACTGGATGGGTGTCGTTTTCCATTAGGTCAAAGCCAGACGTTACGCCTCTTTACAGAACCGGTAGTAATTGGTACAGATTGGAGAGGATGTTCCGCTGCAACCATCCTACTCGCGTGGCTAGACACGGATTATCGCTTATTTTAAATTTTTCTTAATACGAAAAACTTCAATTCTCTGATTCACTGTAAAAAACACTTAGATTAGTTTATCACCCTGAAAGATACCAACTGAACAGAATCCTGGCGCTACCACAAAGATGTTGAAAGATAATGGAACCAAATGACACATATATGGACACGTATCTAGATATTAATTTCAAATTCACTTCACAACGCTCCGGACTTTTAATTCGGCGCAATACTTGAAAGAAAGAAAGAAACAAACAAACAAAGAGACAAACAAAGAATGAAATAAAATAGAATTAAACAAAACAAAAAGAAACTAAGTAAAAAAAAAAAAAATGAACACAAAGAAACAAATGAAAGGATAAATATTAAAGATAGATAAAAAAAAGAAAGAACTGAAGAAAGAAAGAGAGAAAGAAAGAGAGAGAGAGAGAGAAAGAAAGAAAGAAAGAGAGAAACAAAGAAAGAAAGAGAGAAAGAAACAAAGAGAGAAAGAAACAAAGAAAGAAAGAAAAAAAGAAAGAAAGAAACTTTACCAGAAAGTACAAGTAAGATAAGTAAACATCTCATCAAAAGAACAGCGGTAGGCATGTCATATGACCAAAATATCTATTTCCCATTAGTATCAGTGGTTGATGTTTGAGTTCAATGGAAAGGAGGTCGAAAGTAAGACAATGAAAGAAAGGAGAAAATAGAATGAAATTCATAAAATTAATTTGCAATATAAAATTCTGATTAATATACGTGCTAAGGTGTATACATCGTTGCAGCTGCGTCTACAATAACGGCTAAAGTATTCATTGTTTTCATTTTCTGCCTGTCTGCAGGCAACACATCGTTTCCCATCTGAATGGCATCAATGTCTTCTTATTTAGTTCTCTACACAATCACATGACTCTCTGAAAGACATTCTTCAATCTTCATTCTTTCTTTTATATCGAAACGCGCTGAATGCAGCACCATTTTGTATAATATTTCAAAACTAAATTTATCATCGTGGTAAATGGCAACACTTGAAATACAAGCAAGCAATAGCACGAATTATCTGGCAAATCTTTCTATTGCTATTGTTAAAAATTGAAAATGGAGGCGATCTTCCTTTTGCTAAATTTTGCGCCATAAATTAATGTAAAGATGCCAAAATGTTCATTCAACTGGAGGCATAGAAACAGCAAATAAATAATTCGCCCTTAACATTCACCATTTCCGTGGTCAATGTACCATCTATATTTTAAACATTTATTCTGAAACAAGCATGGACAACCATTTTAGGCAGTGAGTCGTCTGATTTATGGCTCACCACTGCGAAAAAGATTCAAGGTAATTTTTCGTAGTAGATACTTCAGCTATTTTCACTACAGAAAGCCATATGCGTAAGCATATACCTTAGAAATAGTAGGAAAGTTTTATTTTTTAGAAACTATTTTTTTATAATTAAAAATTGAAGTCTAGATATAATATTTTCACTGATGACAATGTGATTACCACGTGTAGTTCTAATTTATTCATTTGAAAATGAAAACAATTCTCATTTAGAGAAAAAAAAATCTTATGAAAATCTTCTTAAGAACCACAAAAAACCTGTTTCAAAAGTGTTATGGGATCTTACCAATAATAATAATAATAATAATAATAATAATAATAATAATAATAATGGACTATTCCATTAATAAATACTGCGCCCCGGGAGTAGGCAGGAAGTCGAGTTCAGATGATTACTGCAAGACATTGGAATAGTGATACTGGTCGAGACTACACCGTTCTCTCTACTAAACCTGATTGTTCATACTAACACTTCTACTTCTCTATATATATATTCCTGTTTGTAATATATCTGTGTTATTCCATACCTGTGTTCGAGTTCATCTTTATTGGTTCTACCTTAGACTATCACCGTGGTACAAGGAACCGGACCATAACAAAAAGCAAAATATGTTTACACGTATGATTTCTCTTAGTGAAAATTGCTGACAACGTTAGTTCCCCGAAAAATCCTCCCGAAAGTTTACAAACTTCAAGGAACATTGTAGACTTAATCATTGTTTATGCATGTGTTTATGTATGAGAGAGTGCGTGAGTGAACAAGTGAGAACGAAACAAAATAAAATTGTTATCCATTAAACTACTGGCACGTCCATGCTACTCACCGAGATTCGACGTTACTTAACTTGAGTGTTTTAACAACATATGACCATCAGTCGCAATCATAATAGAGAAATTAGTTGGAACTTTGTGAATCTGTTCTATCCATCAGCCGTTCCCCCCTATCTTTGCATCAACAGATTATTACAATTTTCGATAGCTGTAAAACGCTTTGATAGGGAAGACTTTCTGTAATGAAAACCAGATTCAGCGGTTCGTTGAGAATTTCTTATATCAAAACCAGCGGAATTTTGCACAGAAAGTATCGAAGAGCTGCCTGATTATCGGCAACATCTCTTTGAAAATAATAAGGAATATTTAATTAAAATATGTAACAGAACTATATTTCATAAAGAATAAAGTTGATGAGCAAAAACGGAAATTATTTATGACTCCATCGACTATTTCTATTGATTGAGCGAAACCTGATTTTGAATATATACCTTATATTGGTTCGTTTGGACGATGAAGACGGTCTCTAAAATGGTAATAGAATTATTCATATGATAAATGATCAAATAAAAGCCAGTATTGATAAAAGAGAAAGAATTTAGAAAATGGTTGTGACAGTTATTGAAGCCTTCCAGTAAATAAACATCAGGCGTCCAGCAGAGGATTTTATCGCACGAAGAAACTAAAAAAAGTAGATTGTATTGTGCTAGGTATTAGATAAATGTCTGAATTTGGGAAACTGGTTATCTTTTGGTTATTTCTCTCGTAAAAGAAAATATTTATTTAATCAAAAATATTGACGCTCAGGATTTCACAGAGAATTTATAAACACTACTATCTTTTTTCTTTTAAATCTGTCACAAAGAAAATTTTGAGGAGCCTGCCCGATGCAAAAAAGAAAAGGATAGATAATTCCTATCTATTCTATCTGATTGACGGTAGTCGAGATTATACAGACACTGTGAAATCCACTATCCGCTTGAGAGCTGCATAATGTGTGCTTCATGTTGGGATTAAAAAATTTAAGAAAGGTTTCTCTCAACAACAGGTTTCAATAGCAAAGAGTTCTCTCATTTCCCATAGTCTTTACTTTACTATATAGATATAATTAAAATTTTTCTTGCACTTATTCAAAAAATACCAACAATAGTCTGCATTACATTTTGAAGGAAAAATAAAACAAATGTTTTAAAATATTTTATTCATGATTTTTCATTTTTAACATTTCCAAATAGACATTTGATTGTCATCATATTCTTCCGCTTTTTTTCGCCTCACTCTGTTGTGATCAGCACTGTGATTTTTTCTAAGCCATGTTTTAATGAAAAGAGTAGCATCCCATAATTCTAAATGAAAACCAATAAGATTACTTGCTATCAAATTTTCTGTATTTTCTATTGTAAAGTGGCTTGTTTTATCTGGGTATATAATATTAATTCTTGAGAAAGTTCAGCCTCGGTAGAACTGACATCAATCGTATTGATAATAGTTTCCACTTTTTGTACACTTGGAAGAATTACAGGATTATGAAAGTTTTTCAGGACATTTTTCCATAGAATTACGAAAATCATTAATGGGAATGCTGTGATGAAGAATTTTACTGAAGCCATTCAGCTTTTCTTCCGCCGCATTCCAGGGAATTTCTTGAACAATTCCAAGTATCTGGTTCTAGCAAATTTAGCAGTTCATGAAATTTGTATTAACCTTTATTACATCACCTGAATTTATTTCACCAACCGATTTTGGGACTATAATTTGTAGACAATCTAAAATCAGCCGTTTGTTTGTTCCGGTTGTAGCTAAAAACGTGTTCGCTGAGATGATAAAATTCCAAGAACAGGTTCGCGCGAACCCGCTGAATCCCACAACACTCTAGAGCTTTCCCTTCTTCATGACTGGTTGCCAACTATGCCTAGGGAGGTCAGTCTGCCTTAGCTAACACGTATCTAGGAGGAGAAGAGTAGGATTTATGTCTTTCCCTAGCGTGTTTTTTGGCAACGACTGTGACAATTTTGAACCTGACGTGTCGATATTATGTTTCAAAACCGCTATCCATTACGCCACTTTGAAAGCACAAGGAGTCAACCGTAGTCGAGATTATAGAGTCAAGATAAACAACTATTTCCTTAGCGGAATTGTATGGGCTTCGACAGGGCGACATACAGTTTTGAATTCAGAGTTGTCCTTCTAGATCTGTTGCCACACAAGACAGCTAGTCTGTCGTGTTATTTATCCATAGCTGAAGGAGAGAAGAGTTGGATTCATGCCTTTCCCAAGGGCATTAGCACGAAAGTGAATGTATCGAACGCGACTGGAATTCGAACTTGATTCCTCAATCCGAGCCGCAATTCATTACCCTACCACACCTTTATAGATTTTATTATTAATGTCTTAACTTTTCATTTCTTTCTTTCTTTCTTTCTTTCTTTCTTTCTTTCTTTTTCTTTCTTTCTTTCATCCTCCGCGAACTTATGCAATGTACAATGAAATTGGACTGCAGTCCCCAGACATGCATGCACAAAAAAAGAATATATATATATATATATATATATATATATATATATATATATATATATATATATTGAACAATAAAAAATTAAAATCTTAAGACACACTGGGTTGTAGATTAATATTCTTTCGTTTTTTTTTTATTATTTATTATTTCATTTAGATTCCTCGACTAGTTTCGACCCAAAAATGGCCATCATCGGGAGGAGAAATATTTCTGCTTGCAGGTAGCAGTAAACTACAGAAATATATATATATATATAACACGCATACATCGCAGATGAAACACAGCATCGAATAAAGTAAAGTAATGACGCTTAAAATACGTTTAAAATTAAATCACAGCTACGGTCATTTTTATCAGGGTCCAAGGATAAAAGTGGCCCGTCAAACTCACGTGCTAGAACTAATAGATCTAAAATCAGAGGGTAAGGGATCAAACAAGTGGTACCCAGGATGGGTACTGTCCTTTATCGTTTTCTGCGAGACTTTGAAAGCAATTTTTAATTTTTTTTAAATTTAAAGACGCACATAAACCTGATAAATATTTATGACCGTTCTTAAATTTACAAATTATGAGTAGCTGTCAAATATATCAATCAAATATATATGCCATGTGTAATAAACGCTTAGGTGATCACTTATCTTTTCGATACGTGACTGACTAGTCAGATTTTTTTCCCGCAGTAGGTTGCCATTTCTTCCTGCGGTAGACCAGTTGCCATACAAAGATATAAGACCCGGTCTTTCCTGCTATTTACCCATAGGTGGGAGGAGAAGACGAGAATTCATACCTTTCCCACGTAAGTGTATGCAATGCATTCGACTGGAATTTGAACTCGGCTTTCCGATTCCTCAATCCGAGCCGCTATCCACTTCTCCATCAGTCAGTTATGTGCCATTGGGGTTGATATGCTGTAAAAGAAGCTAAACCAAACCATTATTGTACGTAAGTCATTTAGTTATGCGCCATGCGTGATTCACGCTTA